AGAGTATGATGAATAAAGTCAAGGGTAGAATGAAATGAATTTGACTGTGTGACCCAGGGCCATATTTGCTGGCTTTTCAAGCTCATAGTAAGGACTGGCACCTTGGACAGCAATCAGGAAATGTAAAGCTAAAAATAAACATGATCAGATTTATCTTTTGCTAAATGTAACTGAATCTTGTAAGATCTGGTGTCAAGGCAGAAGCCAACAGAAGACCATTTGTGGTTAGAAGGGGTGACTATAGCTTACACTAGAGAGGTAATATAAAAAAGGAAGAGAAGAAGACAGATTTGAAATACATTTAGGAAGTATAATTGTCAAGATTTGCTGATGGCTTAGTTAAAGAGTTTGAGGAAAGAGCATAAAATAGAGAACAAATTCTAAGTTCTTGTGTTTTGAACAAGAGTCTGCTATCATTTTATAAGATGAGGGAGGTGGTAATTGGGGGAGGTAAGAAGCCTGAATCTCCATCTTTGTTGCCTCTTTTCTATTCTGGATTTAAATATGGCTTATTTATATAGGGCTTACTTTAAAAATAACTTAGTAGGTAGGCTGCTCTCTTTTCACATTCCAGATTATCTATCCTCATCTGAAAGTATTTTGCCCAGACCTGACATAGTGCTTTAGCTATGGTTCTCATCAGAAATTAATATGGTAAGACATATGGTCATATTACACATATGGTAATATGTGTGATTTTCTTCATTCTAGATAAAATGCTTAATATAGCATAAGGTCATCCTACAATGGACTCTTCATTTGCTCTTTTAATTACAATATTGTATCCTCTTATCACTCATGATTTTAAATTACATTATGTATTACAGTAATGAAATGTATTTTGCCCAATTGTAATATTTATTTCTACTACATTTCATCTGTTTAATTTGGTTGATTGCTCCTGTCTATTGAAAATATTTAAAATTTCTATCTTGTGTTAACTCGTTTTGTTTTTTTGACACCTCACCTAAAAATGTCATAAACATTTCCTTTTATTATTATTCAAATAATTTGCATAAATATTGATCATGATAGGGCTAACAAGTCTGCTTATGACATTAGAGATCTCACTTTAGGTTGCATCATTTTATGAATCCTTACTCTCTTTCATGTGATGACTCAAAATCTCTGATCTGCATCGAATCATGTTATCTTTCCAAAGTTGTGAAAACACTTATCTGAACATACTACAGAAATTAAAGTTTATCATATAGAGGATGTTTGAAGCTGAGTTAATTTTGACCCTGTTAAAAATGAAATTATATCTGATGTACTCACTTGTTAACCTATACTGCTCCCTGGTGATTTATTCCTCTTCTAAATGCTGCTAAATATCCTTAACTTTACTTTCTAAAATTATTGACCAGTATTGGAATTACGGTACGTCAGTTAATAGAATAGACTTTCTCCTATTGAAAACAAGATACTTATTAGATTATCCTCAGTCTTCTGATAACTTTTCCTTCTTCATGATTTTGAGTATCAGTAAGGAGCACATCTTTTCTTTTCCTTCTTGTACTATGTATACAGAAAAGCGCAGTTTCTTTACCTTGGTAGCCTGTGTATGTCTCAGTTCACTTAGGAATTTAGATGCTCATCTTCCTAGATTTGTTTCACTGTCATATATGCAAACTTTGTCACAGATTCTTCTTTTATAAAAGCCAAGGAAAGGAAAATTATTTTAAATGATGACAAGGAATGGCATTAGATATATGAAAAAGGGTAAGTGGAAGAACTAAAGAAAATATATTTCTGAAAGGAACTTACTAGCTACACATTTAATTTTTAAATAGAATAAAAATATTACAAATGTAAAATTTTAGTATCTAATTTTTTAAACGATTTTATTCATTTATTTGACACAGAGAGAGAGGAAGCACAAACCAGGGGTGGGGGGGCTGTAGGCAGAGGGAGAGGGAGAAGCTATTCTGGGCTGGGTCCATGACCAGAGCTGAAGGGAGACACTTAACTGACTGAGCCACCCAGGTGCTCCTTCAGTATCTAATTTTTAAATTTCATGATTCTATAAATTAATTTTATTTGTGATAGATTCCCACTCTGTTTTACCTCTCCACTGGAGTCTTCTGCCCCCATTGAGATCCAGAAGTGTATATTCCTACATCTCAGGCTGATTTCATGGGTGTTCAGAGTGTTCTGGTACATAATTAGCTCACTTTAGGGGACCGGTTGAAATAGGGTAATAGGGACTCCTACTTCTCCGCCATCTTTCCCCACACCTCCATAGAGATTGGATACTCAGATTTGACAGATACACACTTATTTTAAAAATTTCCTTTATTCTTTCAGGGAAAGGCAGAAGAATATGTATTAGTAGAAATAGATTGCTAAACATATCCTTACATTCTAAAGGGTCCATTTTTATGATTTATATAGAATTGGGGATGATTTTTAATGTATGATGAATTGCATTGTTAGTAGAGAGAGACAGTAGTTATAAAAATAGAGCAAAATTTATAGAAGTAAGAAAACAATAATGATGATACAGAAGACTAATTGAAGAGGACTGATAGATGAATTTGAGTTTGAAGAAATATTTACAATTGATTGTTACATAATTGATTGCAGAAGAGTAGTCTACATTATTTTTGTAATACTTTGTTTAATAGAAAGAACTGGACCCGAGTGAGAATAGCAGTAATATTACTTAAAATAATGTTATATTTTGATAATGTGTTGATATTATGTTATGTTATAGTTATTCTTGACAAACTTTATTTTTTTTAAAGATTTTATTTGTTTATTTGACAGAGATCACAACTAGGCAGGGAGGCAGGCAGAGAGAGTGGGGGAAGAAGACTCCCTGCAAAGCAGAGAGCCCAACTCGGGGCTCAATCCAGGACCCTGAGATCATGACCTGAGCCAAAGGCAGAAGCTTAACCCACTGAGCCACCCAGGTGCCCCCTTCACAAACTTTAGAAAAAAAATTAATATAAGGAGAATGTATAAGCTCAGAAGTAACTGCTTACCTATCTTTCTAGCAAAAACTAGTATTTTTGTCATAGGAAGACTGGAAAGAAATTATGTAAGATAACTAGTGAAGGATTTTTAGTGAAGAATAATAACTGAGATTCATTCCAGGACTACATAATACCTAGTATCCATCATGAGCATTAAAAAATTCTTGCACAATGAGTCATTGCATAAAGACAGATTGTTTTCAGTAAATTAGAGAATATCACATATAAAATTTAAAAGATAGAAACTCAAGGCTATTCAGTTAAATACATCTGTTTTGTGCATTATAGGAATTTAGGCAGAAAATTATAAATACAGGGAACCAGGAAACATATCCAAGTGTTTCTTCTAATAAAGGAGGTTTGGACAAGTAGGCAGGTCAAGCTAGGGGAAATACAGTGATCTTTATTTTTATTTCAAAATCTTATCTGCTGTCACATATTAGAGAGTTTATGTGACTCTCATCTTCTTGGGTGAAGGTGGTGCTATTCACAAAACCAGAAATAAGTTGTAATAGGTTTGGAGGAAAGATTGGAATTAAATTCTATCGAGTATGAGATGTCTCTGAGACTTTCCAGGGTGAAAGGGCACAGCTCATAGGTACTACATAAAAAGGAAATAACTCAGAAAGGAATACTATTGAAGATACATATTTGTGAGTCCTTAGAATTTAGGCCAGTGGTACTCATCAAGGAATGCATAATGTCCCTGGGAATGTATCTCAAAATACAAATATATATCCCCTTCCAAAATTCTGATCTTTTTCTCTGTTGTATACTGTGGTTGCCTACCAATATCTGTCCTTTTCTTCTTTCTTGGTAAAAACCCTGAAATTTTACTCCAGGCAGCAAAGTACCTATCAAAAAGACTGCATTGCTTATCCTCTCCTTTGTCAATATGAGTGGTCAATAAGATATAAACAGAAGTTTTTTGAAGGACCTCTGGGAAAGTACCTTAAGACACATGGCCTATGCCCTTTTGTCATTTTTACCCTTTTCCTCTATCTTGCTGACTGAGATACAGACATTGTGTGTAGAGCTCTAGTAGCTATCTTGACTCATGAGTAAACCTTGAGGATAGAAGCCATATAGAAGGTAAGAAAGAGATGATAAACTTTGAAAAAGCCTGTGTTTCTGATGACCTGGTGGATCCTTTGCGCTGTGGTGGATAGACTGTGAAGACAAAGGCAGACAACATAGTATTAATTATTAAAATATTCCCAACCAATTTACAGACTTTTTTTAGTTTACTTCTGATAGTGCCCCCAACTCTCCACCAAGCTCTTTTTCAATATTCTGCTTGTTATTCCTTCCACACATACCAGATCCATTTGTACTTTTAAGATTTGTGATAATTCGGAGCGCCTGAATGACTCAGTGGCTTAAAGCCTCTGCCTTCAGCTCAGGTCATGATCCCAGTGTCCTGGGATCGAGCCCCACATCGGGCTCTTTGCTCAGCAGGGAGCCTGCTACCACCCCCTCTCTCTGCCTGCCTCTCTGCCTACTTGTGATCTGTGTCTGTCAAATAAATAAATAAATAAATCTTAAAAGAAAAAAAAAAGATTTGTGATAATTCTGGTCCCATTTATCTTTCTTTCAATGTTACTATCCTTTTTAGTATTCTGTAAAATAGTTTTGTCTACCCTCTCTTAACCTAAATCTTTCTTTAGGCTTTTTGGGCAACACAGTCTTTCTTCTCTTTTTTTATTCCTTGTTTTTCTTGGTGGGTTTTGTTTTGTTTTGTCATGGCACCCTCCTGACAGGACCCTTTTCCCCTCAGTCTCCCTTCAAGCATGGTCCAAAGTATATCATTAACTCTTAATAGACAATTTATCAAAATCATATACAATGGAGCTCTTGACCTCTTTTCCTAACTCTGCCTATCTCACAGGTTTTTCTTGGTATTTTTTAAAAAATAAAATCAATCATTGTAGTGTGTAATAAGTGTGAGAGTTCTTTGAGAACTCGAAAAAGTACATAACAGACATTATTGTGGTTATCATTGCTTTTATTTTGTTTCCACAGATTATACATTCTCCTGTTTATTTAAAAAATTCTAGAGAACAGAGTAAACATGTTTCTTCTATTATATATGAATTGAAAACAAAAGAAATTGGTATAAAATCAAAAAAATCAAGACATCTCACTCAAAGAGGTTAGTTATATGAATTTTTAAATTATATGTATGAATATATTTTGATGAAGAGTAAATTCACTAGAAATTAGGCATGTTAATTTTGAACTATAAATATACGATTCTCGGGGGCGCCTGGGTGACTCAGTGGGTTAAAGCCTCTGCCTTCGGCTCAGGTCATGATCCCAGGGTCCTGGGATAGAGCCCCATATTGGGCTCTCTGCTCAGCAGGGAGCCTGCTTCTTCCTCTCTCTCTGCCTGTCTCTCTGCCTACTTGTGATCTCTGTCTGTCAAATAAAATCTTAAAAAAAAAAAAATATATACATATATATATACGATTCTATGAAACATATGTTGAGACCTTTAGAGAAAATATGCATATCTCATTTAATATTTTATAAATGTACATATTCAGAAAGTTGTTTCATGTTTATCAAGAACTGGATTTTGAGCATAAGGGGGGAATTAAGAGAAATAGGTGTAGGCAGGAACCATATTGAGTTAATAGCTTTCTTGCTGTATAGCTATGTCAGCGTGATTCCTCTTTCAGGAAATCTGTCAAGTATTAGATTAATATAAATGATTTCAATTAAGTAATAATATTTAATTTCCTTCAGGCTTTGAACATAATTGTTTTGTCGATAAAGTACATTTTATCTTATGTTAATAGGATTTTGGTTATCAAATGTGTACTTCTTTTTGTTGTTTTTTGCAGAATTTTTTTGATAAAATTCTATGTGTGATCGATGGAATTCTTTACCTCTATCTTTCACAGAAAAATCATATAATCATTTTTATAAAATTATTTTCAATTTTCTCAAGGTTTTCTCTTAAATCTTTTAAAATTATTATGATAAAAACACTTACTCTGATACCTACTCTATCAACAGACTTTTAAGTGCATAATACAATATTGTTAACCTTAGTCATAATGTTGCACAGCAGATCTCTAAAACTTTATCTTGTGTGACCAGAATTTTAAATCCGTTGAACAACTCCTCATTTCTCTCTTTCTCAGAACTTTTAATTCTTAAATATTCAAATCTTTCTCTTTTTAAAACTCATGATGTTATCTTTATCCCCTTTTATTTTCTTTGTATATGAACTGTCATACTTTGTCTATCTCTACCAGTTCCTTGTCAGTGGCTTTTGATATTTCATCAATTATCCATTAGTTTCATGTATATACAATATGTTTACAACATTTATTTTAATATACAGTGTTTAGTTTCATGTATATTATATATACATTTCATAAAGCTCTACATTGTTATTTAAAAGCAATTTTATTTTTATGATTATTTAATTCCCAGATTTATAAATGAAAATGAAATGATGGAAAAATAGTAGTTCCATGCACCATACTGCTACACTTAATCTTTCTGATACCCCAAGATACTATCTTGTAACTCTTCTGCTGTTTACTTTTATATTTCCAAGTAACATACTTATTCTGCTAAAATATCTTTTTTTTAGGGGGTTAGATATTATTTAGATATTATTTACAGATTTCCACTGTGAAAGATGTAGGTTTAATTCTCTTTTAAATCCTCCATAATACACACACTTATATATTCCCTCCTCTATTTTCCCCATGGAATTATATAACTACTGTTTGGGGGTAAATTAATATTTACTGTTGTAATTGTTATGGCTGTGTATATATTGTTCACAGCTGAGCCATACAATATATTAGGATATGTTTGATTTTTTATACTATTTTTTTGAAAACTTGTTTGAAAATCTCATACCATTCAAACCACCACTCTCCCCAAACATACTCACACATATATAATTTTTTTTCACGATACTTCTGCTTGCACCTTTCATTTTGCTGATTTAATCAGGACTGCTTACCCTCTAAACCTGCTCTTAGACCCTCCATTTTGGTGTACATCTCTTCAACTGTGATCCTAAGAATTCATTTGTCTCCATGCTATGTAGGGACTCTAAGTTCCAGAATTCTCTATCTTGGTCTTTCTTGGTTTATTTTCTTATTTTAATACAGTGCCTTCTCTATGAGTTTACTGAGAAATTATATATAGGAGGTAAATTTTTAAAACCTTGAAAACCTAAACATGCTGTTATGCTACATTTATATTTGGTTGATGATTTGACTGTGTAGAGCTTCTTTCAGATTTTTTTCAGGATCGCTTTATCATCTAACTTCCAGTGTTTCCTTTGAAAGGTCCATTGCCATTTAGTTCTTAGTTTGATATATATGAATGTCTATTTATTGTTTTTCCCTTCTGACTGGAAACTTTTAGCATTGTTTCTTATACCAGGTATTCTGCAATTTCACAGTGATTTGTCTCATAAATATTTGCTTGCTTGGCCAGATTGTTTTTCTATTCAATTTATTGTAGTTATTCATTCTGAAAATTTATATCCCTCAGTTCTGGGTATTTCTCTTATATTTTTTATGGCAATATATGTATCATAAAACTTAACCATTTTAAGCATTTTTAATTGTACATTAAGTATGTTTATATTGTGCAACCATCATGACCATCCATCTGTGGAAACGTTTCATCTTTTTTCTTCAATTGAAACTATGTGCCCATTACACAGTAACTCCCAATCCTCCCCTACCCTCAACTTCTAAAAGCACTTTCTATTTCTCTCTAGAATTTGATTACTCTAGGTATGTCATATAAGTGCAATCACACAATATTCCTTTTGTGACTGGCTTATTTTATTTAGTATAATGTCTTTAAAGTTGATATATGTGGAAGCATGTCACATTTGTTTTTCTTTTTTAAGGTTTAATAATAAATATTCCATTACCGTCAACCTTTGAACAACATAGCCTTGAACTGGGCAGGCTCACTTATACAGATTTATTTTTTATAAATACTAATACTATAAATATGTTTTCTCTTCCTTATGATTTTCTTAATAACATCTTTTCTAGATTATTATAAGCATACAGTATATAACACATATAACATACAAAATATGTGTTAATTCACTGTTTATGTTATCAGAAAGACTTTTGGTCCAATGGTAAGCCATTAGTAGTTAAGTTTTTGGGGAGCCAAAGTTATTCATGGAACCTCAACTGTGCAGGGGAGTGGTGACCCTAATCCCTGCATTTTTCAAGGGTCAGCTGTATGTTTTGTTTATCCAAACCAGCATTTGGGCTGCTTCCATATTTTAGCTATTGTGAATAATGCTGCTATAAACATAGGTATACAGATATCTCTTTGAGACCCTGCTTTCAGTTGTTTTGAGTACATAGCCAGAGGTGGAATTGCTGGATCATATAATTTTATTTTTAATGTTTTGAAGAATCACCATACCATTTGCTACAGCAGATACACCATGTACATTCCCAGCAACAGTGCACAAGGGTTCTAATTTCTACACATCCTGAGTAACACTTGTTATTTTTTTCTTTTTCTTTTCTTCTTCTCCTCCTCCTCCTCCTTCGTCATCGTCGTCTTCTTCTTAAGTCATTTGTTGTCCATTTCCTATTTGTTGTGTATATTCTGAGTGTTTTGTGTATGTCTGTTAGGTCCAGTTTGTCTATAATATTGTTCAAATCCTCTGCTTCTTATTGATATTCTCTCTGGTTGTTATATCCAATGTTGAAAATGAGGTATTGAAATCTGTTATTGTAGAAATGCTTATATTTCTGTCTTTAACCTGTAAATGTTTGTATTATTTATTTTGTTCCTCTGATTTTTGGTGGATATGTGTTTAATTATTACATCTTCTTAGTGAATTGACCCTATTATTATATAATGATCATATTTGTCTCTACTCAAGGTCTGCTGCTTTAAATGTTGATCTCATCTAAAATATAACTTTACAGATACATCTAGAATAATGTTTGGCCAGATATCTGGGTACCATGGTTTAACCAAGTTACCATATAAAAGTAATTATCACAGAGCTTTACTAAATATAGAATTCTTCGTTGACAGTGCTTTTTTTTTTTTTTTAAATTTCAGCACTTTAAATATATCCTCCTATTGCCTCCTGGCATGCAAAGTTTCTGCTGATATATCTGCAAATTAATGAATACCCCTTGCATGTAAAGAGTCACTTTTCTCTTGTGACTTTCAAGATTCTTCCTTTGTTTTTCTCTTTTGACAGTTTCTTTATAATGTCTCACAATGTGGGTCTCATTTTGCTTATCCTACTCAGCATTTATAAGCTTGTAAATGTATGTTTCTTCAAATTTGGGAGGTTCAGCTCTTATTTCTTCAAGTAGCATATCTGTTTCTTATTCTCTTCTTCTGGGACCCCCAAAATGCATATTTTGATCCATTTGCTAGTATGCTGCAAGTTCCTTATTCCCTGTTCACTTTTATCTATTCTTGTTTTGTTCCTCAGACTCTATTATTTCAAAAGATCCATCTTTAATTTTGCTGAATTTTTTCCTTTTTTTTTTTTACATGTGCTGTTGAAATGCTAGTGAGTGTTTCAATTCAGTTATTTTATTTTTCTGCTACAAAATTTGTTTAATTCTTTTAAATAATTTCTATCTCTTTATTGGTAATCTTATTTTGGTTATATATTGTTTCTCTGATTTTCTTTCATAATTTGCCCATGTTTTCCTTTGTCTCTTTGAGCATATTTAAAACAGTTATTTTAAAGATTTTGTCTAACACGAAAAGATGTTCGACATCACTAATGATTTGGGAAATGCAAATCAAAACCACAATGAGTATCACCTCACACCTGTCAGAATGGCTAAAATCAATACCTCAAGAAACAACAAAGTGTTGGTGAGGATGTGGAAAAAAAAGGAACCTCATGCACTGTTGGTGGGAATGCAAACTAGTGCAGCCATTGTAGAAAACAGTGTGGAGGATCCTCAAAAAAAAAAAAAAAATTAAAAATAGAACTATCATGCTGTGAATTGTGTAAGACTGATCATCACAGACCTGTACCACTGAAACAAATAATATGTTGTATATTAATTTAAAAAATGGAACTATCATATAATCCAGTAATTCCACTATTGGGCATTTACCCAAAGAATATGAAAGCATTAACTTGAAAAAGTCTAT